ACCTCGGCCTCCCAAAGTGTTGGGATTACAGACATGAGCCATTGTGCCCGGCCGGGTCTGGTCTTTTAAAACTTTTTTAAAGTTTCTAATGCGTAGCCAAGGCTGAGAATCACTGTTAGCGATTTATCCTGTCTCTCAGACTCTCAATTCTTTTATGTAATAATTTTAATCTATTAATTTACCCCAGATTGCAAATTTGCCTAGATCCTATAGGTTTGTATGGTCTTATATTTTATTATATACTTTTATAGGAATTTTATTTTATACATTTATATAAATTTTATCTTTATACTTTTTATATTTTTAAATTTATTTTTGGTACAATTATGAGGAGTGACAATTTTTGTTTATAGGTACATTATACACTTCTAGTTGTATCACTTTGTGATCAGTGAGTATAACTTGTGTAATTTTACTGTTTTTAAAATTTATTAAAATTTTTGTGAATTAGCATATAAGTTTCAGATATATTTCTGTAAATATATATATTGTCATGTATAAAGGAGCCATCCTCTATATGCAACACAAAATTTATTATCATTTATTTCCTTGATTATGGGACTTCATAATCATAAGAGAAACCATTGATTTAATAATAGCTTTTTCAGGAAGAGTAAGCAACATTGTATTAAATGTACACAAATTTTTATTGTCTACTAACATATAGAGCACGCATTTATCCTTACCATTATGTCCCTTTTATAGTATTTCACAATTTAAGTCTGAACCTTTTTCATAAAATCGAGCTTAAACATATTAAACTTGGACATGTGATGTTGACCTCTTTATAAAATGTTGAGGTTATTGAACATTGCCAATGTTTTGTCTTTCTTTCCTGATAGCTTCTCTAGAAATTCAGCTGTAAGTTTTTGACACTTAGATGTTTGGTTCCTGAAGTAATAGTCTTTCTGACTCACGTATTGGCCACATCAGCCTCCCCATTTTTAAAAATTATATGATTTATTCTAAGAGATTAGGCTTTGGCTTTTGCCTTACAGTTGCATGGTCTAGCCTGCAATGGACAACCTTCTCCACGCAATTATTTTTTGTGTCATACTGCATCAGACAACAATTATTTTCAAACATTTTAAGTGAAAATTAGGAATCTAGTGTTAAAATCCAGCTGTTTGGGATATGCAATGCAAAGCAAATAACTCAACTGACATGAAGATAGGATAGATCCTACTCTACAAAGCTAAATTTGCACCATACATCAAGTTGGAACTACTTGCCCATCAAAATGCATTCTTGATTGCTTTGAGATTCTTTTTGCTTTAATTGTAAGAAGATCCTGACTTCAGAAATATTAACATTTAAAATTTTTCCTTTGTAATGAGGAAATCATATACCTGTTATTTAAAGCTAATTGATTTCAGATTTCAGAGTTTTTTTCTTCTTCTTTTTTTCTTTTCTGTCACCCAAACTGGAATGCAATGGCATGATCATGGCCCACTGCAGCGTTGAATTCCTGGGCTCAAGCAATTCTCCTGCTTCAGCTTCCTGAGCAGCTTGGACTATGAGGCATGCACCACCATACCTGACTAGTTAAATAAAGAAAAATTGTTGGAGAGACGGGGACCCATGTGTCGCCCAGGCTGGTCTAGAACTCTTGGCCTAAAGTGATTCAGTCCTCCTGATGTAGCCTCTTAAAGTGTTGGGATTACAGGCATGATCCACTGTGCCCAGCCTAAGGTTTTATATCCTCTAGGCTAAGATTAAAATTCCAAATGCCTTGAGGATCAGGCAGGTAACCTCATATAATATAGGGTCTGCAGAGGCCTGTGGAGGACTGAAGATCACATGCCCCCACCAAATGATATATATATATTCTGTTTTCAAGAAAATTGCAGCAAATTACATCCTCTAGGACCTTATTTTTCTTTTTTATTTCTTTTCTTTTTTTTCTTTTTTCTTTTTTTGAGATGGCATCTCACTCTGTCACCCAGGCTAGAGTGCAGTGGCACAATCTTGGCTCACTGCAACCTCCACCTCGCCGGTTCAAGTGATTCTCCTGCCTCAGCCTCTTGAGTAGCTGGGATTACAAGCATGTGCCACCACACCTGGCTAATTTTTGTATTTTTAGTAGAGACGGGATTTCTCCATATTGGTCAGGCTGATCTCCATACCCCTGACCTCAAGTGATCCACCTGCCTCGGCCTCCCAAAGTGCTGGGATTACAGGCGTGAGCCACCGTGCCCAGCTTAGGACCTTATTTATCTAGTTTCTGCTTGATATCATAAGTGATGATAACACCTTACATCATAATTATGTTCCTATAAATTTTCATTTTTAACAGTTTTTATTTTAGGTTCTGTTTTCTGGATTCTCTGATACATCAAGTTCCATTGCAATTAGATCATTTATTTTTGCAAGATCACTTTTTAATCTATTTGGTGTCTCTCCTCTTACATTCTACTTTGCCACATTTTACAATTTCCTCTTCCTCTTCCTTTTTTATCTTTCCATCTCTACCTCATTCTGACTTGCTCTGTATCTTTCATGCTGGAGTTTGACAGCCCTGTATTCTCATGGGACCAGAATATGAAATATCACTCTGTCCCTCATCTGGACATATTGAAGCCCAACCTAAGATAATGTCTTTCCTTTTCTCTTTATTTCAATTTAGCATCCTTCTCTTTTAATGCATCATTTGATTGATAAATATTTAATGATTACATACATGACGGTTGACCTATGCCAGTTGTCAATTGACCTGTGCCAGTGCAGTCATTCACAAATTTATACTGGTAGCATTCAGTATATAGAGGGGGGTGAGAGCCAAGAATATTCTCTCTACACTTTCCTACTTGATTACAAAGAAAAAAAAATCTCAGATTAAATATTACCTACCCTGAAAGTTTGATGAAGCCCCAGCTCTTTCTCCTTTTAGGTGTTCTAACATCTTTTTTTCCTTAAAAAATTTTTTTTAAAAAAAATTATTTTTGAGACACAGAGTCTCATTCTGTCACACAGGCTGGAGTGCAGTGGCGAGGTCGTAACTCACTGCAGCCTCAATCTCCTGGGCTCAAGCGATCCTCCCACCTCAGCCTCCCTAGTAGCTGAGACTACAAGTACATGTAACCATGCCTGGCTAATTTGTAAATTTTTTTGTAAAAACAGGGTCTCATTATGTTGCTCAGGCTGGTCTTGAACTCCTGGGCTCAAGTGATCCTCCTGCCACAGGCCTGGGCCACTGTACCCAGCTCCCTCCCTCTACTTTTTAAAAGTTGAAATATAATTCACATAACAAAAACTCACCATTTTAAAGTGTCCAACATGACTCAGTGTCTAATATCTTTTTTTTAACAGAGGTAAAATTCACGTAACATAAAATTAACCATTAGCCATTTTAAAGTGCAATTCAGTGACATTTAGCATATCCACAAGGCTGTGCAACCATCACATCTATCTAGTTCCAAGACTTTTTTGTCACTCCAGAAGGAAACTCTATACTTGTCCAACAGCATCTTATCTGAAATGTTCACTCAATACAAATGTGACAGCATTCTAGCAATGGGGTTTAGCTAACCTAATTGGAGTCAGGCCAGACAAATTCCTTAAGAAAGCAGCTGAACATAGGACTATTTGGGAATGAAGCCAAAGGTGCCATTTTGAAGGGAGTAGATCTCTGGGCTCATCAGACTCTTAGAACCTGTTCCTGTAAGGACAGTGCCTGGTTAGTATTTGTAACTGGTATGTGCATTTTGAATATAATCATTTCACTAAAATTTATTTCTAACATCACTTACGGCAATTGACAAAGCTTCTTATGTTGATCAGAGAATAAGCTACTGAGGCATTTTGTTAGCTACTTCTGAAGTGTGGGCTTCTGATAAAAATTTGCTAAGCACTCCTGGAGTATATATTCTTAATTAGGTTAACTGACCACCACCCCTAGAGGGTAGATTGCATCTAACAGACTCACTCATATATATCATATTGTCCACATTAAATAACCCTGGAGTTACATCATATGCACAGTTAACTTTTGCAACTTCAATTATAAAAATTGATCAAAAGCGAGAAACACAGAGAATATTTAAATGGAGCTCTCACAGAGCTTGAGCCACAGGTCAAGCTTGAAATGGTAGCCTGAATCTACTTTTCCCACAGTTGTCCTCAGTTACCTTGTCGTGCTCAGTGTGTGAGCAGGATGCCATATTAAGAATGTTTCCAATGGTTAAAGATATATATTATTCATACAACATGGCACCTAAGCATAAAGAAATGATTTTAACTGGTCTTCAACTGAAGAAGCAGGCAGTCATCTGCTTCAATATGGGAGAAAAATGGGCTGTGTTTTACTTTACTGAGAGGCACAGTTTTCTAAAGTAGTTAAGGAATTTTCAAAGATATTTTTGACTATCTCTGAATTTTACCATAACTGCTTTAGAATCCACCTGTCCTTCCCTTCCTTATTCCCTACCGCCCCCATACAAGATGAGTCTGAGTCTAGCATTGGGCTAGGCTCCTTGAGGTTCCCGAAGTGTAAGGTGGCGTCTCCAGGGCATTGGATGAATTTCAGATATGCCTGCTTGGATTGCCTGAAGGCAAGCAATCGTCTGGACTAACAGTCAGGATAATTTTATGCCAGAACCAAGGCAGCTTTGTGTTATTGTTAATGGGGAAAAAATGACAAAACTTATTCATCTTGTGAGAAAGAATATTTTGTCTCTATAACACATACATTTAGAATCCCACTGTGAAATCCCAAAGGCAGACTCTAGTTCAGTTTATGGTAGAGCTGAACGATGGATGTATTACTTGAATATCATTTCCTTGTTCTAACCAGATGGTGATAAAAGTATAAAATAATCTTTATGTATTGTATCTTAGATTGTATATCCATTCGCATAGCTGATGTGTAGAATGTCTTCTTGGAAAAATTCTCTCTACTTTTTTCTTTATATTAACAAAAAGTATGCACGCAGCTGCTATGTTGATTTTAAGTTTGCTGAATTTTCTTTTCATTTCTTAGTTTCTAATTATGATTCCAACAGGTATTATCTTTTGATGCCTATTTGGAAGAGGAAGTACCTGATAAAAGCCAAACCAACTACAGAATAAGATACTACAAAATCTACTTCTACCCTGAAGATGACACAATACAAGTAAATGAACCAGAGGTGAAAAATAGTGGATTGCTTCAAGGTATCTATTTAAAGCAGAGTTATGGTTCCTTCACTTCTGACTCCTGCCTTTATATACTGCCTGCCTTTAGCTTTTCAAAAGACTGCGTGCTACTGTTTGGGCTGTCTAACCTGCTGGCAATGGTGAATATAAACATGCCATTAGCATGTAGTTATTGATGGTGACTTACCAGCTTTCTACTCTCTGCACCTCAACATTGGCTGGGTCTCTCACTCCTCTGTGGCATATTTGTATCCTTTCAGGTACTGTTCTGGTATGAGTAAACTCTCCTGTGCCTTTAACTTTTTCCTCAAACCCTTTGGTCACTTTGCCGTGAGCAGATCACTTCCTTCGCAACACCATTAGGGGAGAAGAGAAAGCTGTTCTCTACTGCAGCTTCCAGATTGGCATTCTCTTCTTTCTTGAATTTACTGTATTTGTTTCAACCACCCCCTCCTCATCCTCATACCTGGTAACTACAGACTTCAATGGTACCTCACCAGAGAGTCATTGTTCCTTCACCCTGTGTATGCCAGTCATCTTTGTCCATACTCCTCTCAGCCACAGCTAAGAGTTAACTCTGTGATGTGGCCACCAGAGAAGCTAATCCTATGTTGCATTAAGTATGACAGAGATCAATGGAGGTGACTGTTTTCTTCTGTTTGTGCTGTGGGTCCTTCTCTTGGGATGCTGCTGAGTTCTGGTTGACTTCAGGGGACAGCAACTACGACGGTGAAAGAACTGAACATTTGCCATGTGCAAGACCGAATAGTGAAAAGGGATATTTGTCTGTAATGGGGAGACTCAAGTGTGCTTGATAAATGTCCTCAGGAATCTAAAGGTGTCATGTGGAGAAGGGGTGACCTTATTTCTGTATCTTCATGTCTTCATGGATGGGACCTAGGGATCAGAGTTCAGGTCAATAAGAGGAAGAACTTTCTGGCAGAGAGCTGCTGGAAGTTGTAGGGAATGGACTTGGATAGGGTTGGGGTTAGGGGTCTGGTGTAGGGGCGGAGGAGAGGAGAGTCACAGACTTGTTTGTTCCCTCGTGTAAATAGATGGCCCTGGGGGCAGGTCAGGGGTTGTTTTTCACCGACAGCCTGCTAGAAGTATGAGACGATTTGAGTGTTTGTTTGGTCGCTGGTGTAAATGACCTTTCAGGGTACTTAGTTCCTTGAGGAGCTGATTCTTGGGTGTGTTGTTGTTTCTTTGCCTTTTAGAGTATTGCCACCTCCAGTATCTCAGTCTCTGAAATTGTCTTCTCTAACTACAATCTCTACTCCTTTTACTTTCCCCACTTGCTCATAACTACCATCCCTGTTCTTCAGTCTCCTAGAAAAACATATCCTGAATATGTCCATGTCTTTCTATCTCCTTCTCTACCATCCTCATTCAAGTTACCCTCATCTGTTGACTAGAGGAATGGAATATCTGCCTAATGTGGTCTCCCTGTTTCCATTCTTGCTCCTCCTACAATCTCTTCTGTATGCGGCAGGGAGAGTGTTATGTGGGATGTCACCTATATGCAGTGGTGGCCTTTGAGAATTATACATGCAGGCTGTCCCAGAGGCCACAAAACACAAGGCTTATGGATCACATTAAAATCCATGAATCACATGATACATTAAAGTAATTTAAAACACATGATGAGAAACAAGAGGGAAAGAGATAGGGTAGGTTCACACACTTGGGACAGGGTACAAGTAGGCAGAAGGACCATACTGCCTGAATCCTGGCATCAGCAATGGTTCTGTCTCTGCTTCACTAACCTTCCCTGCTACTAGTATGGTTTGGAGACCAGAATTGAGGGTCAAGCAAGTAGAACCACAGACAGAAAAGGGGCCTCGGGCTGAGGGCACACACTTGCTCTGTTGGAGAGATGCAGGGAGAAGTGTGCCTGGCCATGGCTGTAGCTTGTCAATAAGCCTGCTGAATAGTCTTGGGTTTTGTTTGTGTTTCTTGGGCAGAGGTCACATGGGGCCAAAATGGGTGTCACCGATGAATGAGTGGCCAAATTGAGGCCTCATAAATATTGGGTGCTCATGAATATTTAGTGTCCCTTCTATATTTAACATATCATGAATATTTAGAGCCCAGGTGCCTCATGTATATTTACGACCTACTGAAGATCAGTTATCTTTTGGTTTTGCCATCCCTTTCTTTCTATGTTTAACATGCCCATGCTCTACTTAGCCTACCTTCCTATTGTTATTTAACACATCTCATGATTTCTGCCTATGTTGAACAAATTTTGCTTTCTAATTACTAATCTAGGCCTGAGGGCTCTGTATTGATGTACCACAATGAGTACAAGGGGGAGAAGCAGGGATTTGAGGGCCATGGGCTCTGAGAATAAGGTGGTCATACAACCTCATTACATGTGCAGAAGACTTCCTTCAATGCTCATGAGATTGAGGTTTTTCTCAGAGCGTGGCTTCATCGTGTCTGGTGGTTGGAATAATGAATTTGGAGCCAGCCAGCATTGCCAAGAAGTGTTTGTTGGATGCCTACTCTGTGTCAGGCACTGTGCTGTGTTTTGGGAAAATGGACAAAAGGACTGAGTCCCATCATAGCCCTATCTCATGGAGCAATAATAGGCCACCAGATTGGAAAGGAAAGGGAGCAAGGCCACCAGTCCAAGAGTTTTGCAATTGTTCAGGCTAGAAATGCTGAGTGTCCAAACCAGGACAATGATTGTAGGAACAGAAAATTAGGGAAGGATTTGAGAGACATTTGGTTGGCAGAGTTGATAGGCATTGGCCTGTGATTAAATACAGAGAGTGAGGAGGGGGAATATCTAATGAAAAAGTGCCTACCTTATCATTATCTCATTTAATCTTCTGATGACCATCTAAAATAGTTATTGTCACTGTCAGCTTTTACAGAAAAGGAAACAGGCGTAGGGAGGTAGTTTGCTCAGTCTGTTTTGCATTGCTCTAAAGGAATACCTGGGGCTGGGTAATTTATAAAGAAAAGAGGATTATGTGGCTCACAGTTCTGCAGACTGTACAAGAAGCATGGTACCAGCTTCTGCATCTGGTGAGGCCTCAGGAAGCGTTTACTTGTGGTGGAAGGTGAAGGGAGAGCAGGCGTGTCACATGGCAAGACGGGGAGCAAGAGAGAAAGGAGGGGATGCTGGGCTCTTGTTAACAATCAGATTTTACGGTTACCAACAGAAAGAACTCACTCATTACTGCGAGGACAACACAAAGACATTCATATGGGATCCACCCCCATGACCCAAACACCTCCCAGCAGGCCCCACCTCCAACATTGGGGATCACATTTCATCATGAGATTTGGAGGGGACAAATATCCAAACTGTATCGGCCTCAGAGGTCTCTGTGGTTGAGTCATGATACCTTTATAAAGCCCAGGAGCACAGAGCAAGAAACAGGATTGGGGTTTGAAGCTGGGGTATGTTTCAGGGCATGAGGCCTTTGAAGGGGTGTTAGGACATCTGTGTGGTGATGTCCCTCCAGGCAGGTGGAAACTTGGGATGTGTTTTCAGGAAAAAAGTGAAGACTAGAAATGGAGATTGGGAATCAGAGGTGCCCAGATCATGACCAGGCTATTCTACCATGTTAGAGGAGAGCCACTGGTGAGGTGACAGAAAGAGAAAGAGAATTCAGTTTAGTGTCTCTACTTGGTTTTACTAGTGGTGGGAAAAGAGGAAGATTAGTATGAGGAGGTATTATGAGCTGTCCTCATTGTTCTTTGTGTTCCAACTGACACACTATCCACTCCCTGGCCATTTTATTTGGTGAATTTGGCTTAATGGTAAATCTTTCAGGAAATAGGGAAATACCTTAACATTTTAAAAACAGGTTTTCACAAATTTTAAGGTTAAAAGTGTGACATTTTACAAAGAGACAAGAGGTTTTAGATTCTTTAGGGTCATTTAAAACATATAAGGCAGTTTTTAAAGAGTGGCGAGAATGCATTAGAAAATGGTTGAAGATTATTTAGGAACAAAGAATTTACAATTTATAATTTCTGTGGATATCTATTTTACTTATGTGTATTTGATTATGTAATAGTATTGCTGTAGCAAAAAAAAATTCTTACAGGTTTTTATCGAAACATTTTGTTCTGATATTCTGTAACTAAGCTCTGCTTATTTTCTGATTACTTTCCCACCATGACACCAAACTTGGAAAAATGATAGACTGGAGGTCACAGGACACCGCAGGCCTGGGTTAGTGACTTGCATTATTGTTTTCATTATTACCTTTCAAGTGAAAGCTCATAATCCTATAGCTCACTGGCTCCTGTCCAGTTCATCTTAGTTTTATTAAACTATCCAAGAAGAAATATGAAATGTGACTTCTTTTAGAATCTTGGAAAGGCTTTTATTAAGACTTCAATTCTTTCAGACTCTTGATTTCAAATCTCACATAGGCAGATTCCAAAGGCAAGCCGAAGATAGTCATAATGATGTACTTGAAAATCATTCTTGTGTAAGGAGGGAGGAATGCTATCATAAAGGCTCAGGAAAAAAACACCTGAGTAAAAGACAATTTTAAAGTCTCTGGAAATTTTCCGAATTTTTTATTGGTTCACTGTGGTCAGGACATTTCCCTGTGTGAAGACACAGCTCAAGAGTTGTGTATAGAATACACAGTAATCACGCTGCGTAATGACATTGAATTTGTTAGCAGAGTAGAGAAATTTGGAAGGCTGTAGCAAATCCTGTAGAAAGCAAACATGAATAACACTCTGTCACCAAGCTTTGTTTAGAGAGAAACCAGTCTCTCTTGAAATATTTAATATGAGAATTCTTGTTAAGGAAGGTCTATTTGGACTGCAGATAGTTTGAAAAATCATTTAAATGCCTTCTTCGAGCTTTTCTAAATTAAGTGATTGGAAAAAAGAAAACACACTTAATGAGCCAGTGGTTCAGATGTCAGTGGGACAGGGTAGGTAGTGTTTCTTGCAGTTGTGACGAGTGGCCTGGGCTTGCTTTCCAGGCATCTGGGCCCTGGGAAGAGGCAAATGGTCAAGATTAGGTGCTGTGCATT